CCCCCCCAAAAAAAAAAAAAAGGATCAGAGGATGCGGAAAAATAATGTCAACAGCAGTTCTGACCCCTGAAGTTCCCAGTCTCCCTCCCCGAAGAAATGAACAACAACATTCACAAAACAAAAAAAAGAAAAACATGAATGGAGAAAAAACTTCAAAAAAGTTAAAAAAACACAATTAAAGATTACCCCACCCTCGGCGGCTCTTCCCTCACCGTACACCGCCACCACACAATCAAGCTGAGAAAGAAAGAGGGGGGGAGAGACAATGAATTGAGAAAAGGAGAGGAGGAGAAAAGGAGAGGAGGAGAAAAGGAGAGGAGGAGAAAAGGAAAGGAGAGTATTTCCTGTATCTCACCCCAAATTGTCAAGGCTGTAACTTGTTATTCTTACCCATATATCTGTGAAAATGCTTCACATTTTCAATTATATCCCCATGACTTGTACCCTTTCTCGGGCTTTCGGCTGGAAAAAGATCCAGTATTTGCTCTGACCAGTTTTTTTTTTTTTTTTTGGGGGGGGGGGAGGAAACAGCTCGGTAGGAGAGGTGATCAGAGCACCCCCTCCTAGCAGGAATCCTGGATGCTCCAGTCTATTGCTGGGGAGCAGCACCTGCTGGAAAAAAAAAACACGGCTCCAGCGTCCTACTGTACATCAGATGACCTGTCAGCATTGATTGCCATGGTTCCGGGCATTAACTGTGCTGGTATAAGGATAGATGAGAGCTGGGGATAGCCGACTATTGGGCGTGGAGCCGCCTCTTCGGCCTGGGCCAGGCCGCCAGATTAAGCTAATCTCCCTAGCGGCTCCACCCTTCTTTTCTGGAGGCCGGCTACTGAACACCAGTTGAGTCGGCCAACCCGTCCGTCCCCCTTAATCCTCTTCCGACGTAGCTTGCCCAGTACGACTGCCCCCCAGTCTGGAGCTCCACCTTGCCTTCAGCCGCTGCCGGGCATCCTCCATTATCCTGTTTATGCTCCTGCCAAGGCCCAGCTTGGTCCCACTCCAGTACGCCAGCTTGTCTGCAATCTTCCAACTGTGATCCTGTTCAATCTGCACCATACCATTGCATGTCCACCATAGCCAGCTGATGGGGCGGGAAGGGGTGAGGGAATTCTGAAGGTGGACGCTTTCAGGGGTCCCCTAACCCACCGCAGTCCAGCCTTTGAAGCAGATACAGTAGTCCCTCCTGAACACCTCCTGGTCATGCTCCTGGGCGAGGCCGCCTTTCCATCTGACATAGGCAATCCGGGCCCCGTTCTCACTGCCCAACCAGTCCCCTGAGAACCGTTGATCAACTGTTGATCAACTACCCGCCATAGCCACAACCTCCTCTAACCACTCCCCTGAGAACTGTTATGTCCTTCGTGAATGAAACAAATCCAATTGATTAGTTAATACCTGTTCTGCGGTCCATCAGACCACACAGAAAATAGAAGGCTACATATATTTTTGAACTTCTATATTGCATGCGCGCGCACACATGCAATATTCTTTCCCGTAAAAAAAAGAGACATCCACCGTAGCTTTTGTGAACTTCTATATTTTTCATGTTTGCTGAGTAGTGTGGCAAGACCCTGAGCGTGTGTGCGGACAAAAGAATATTGCATGCGCGCGCACACACAACACACACACACACACACACACACGTGTGCACTCATGTTACAAAAAAAAAAAAAAAAAAAAA